TGTGGAATCAGGTGGCTGCCTGTCTGCAGTGGGGTGATTTGGTGTCTTCTGCATGACTCAGGACCTCGGTAGGGCGTGCACAGACCTGCCTGTCTGCAGTGGGCTGATTTGGCATGTGTTCCTTGTACCTGGGGACCTCGGTAGGGCGTGCACAGACCCGCCTGTCTGCAGCGGGCCCACTCGGCGTGTGTTCCGTGTGACTGGGGACCTCCACTTTATATGACTTTTTGAGATTTTGGTTTTGATGATTTAAAATCTTTAATACTCACTGCTAAAATAAAAAAAGAGTCATCCTAGTGCCTGCTAGCTTTCATTATTTCTGATGAGAAGTCAGTTGTTAATCTTATTGGTAATCTGTAATGATAAAATCTTGAAAGCATTAAGAGAAATGACTTTTCTTTGCCTTTGGCTGTTACCATTTTACTAAGTGTACCTAGATATGGATTTCTTTGCATTTAATTTACTTGGAGTTTCTTGTGCTTCTTGAAGTGCAGAATTTTCTGTAACTTCTTGGGAAATTTTCACTCATAATTAAAATGTTTTACTAGTCTTTTCCCTCTCTCCTTTTCTTCTGGTGCTTCCAATACAAAATTGGTGTGCTGAGTGGTCCTATGTTTTCTAGGCTCTGTTCACTTTTCCTTTTTTATTCTGTTCTTTGGATTGGATGATCACTCGTGATGTAACTTTCAGTTCACTGTTGTTTAGATCTAGAATGTCCCCAAAGGCTCAGGTGTTCAGAGTTTGGGCTTTTGGAAGGTGATTGGCTCATGGAGGTGCTACATTCATTGGTGGATTTAATGCACTGAAGAGTCCAGAGCTGAATGTGCTGTTAGGCAGTCGGGTCCATATGGAAGAGGCAAGTCACTGAGACCTTGACCTAGAAGGGTGTATTTCCCTCCCTAGCTTCTGTTTTCTCTCACTGCTTCCTGGCTGCCATGGATTTGCAGCTTTCCCCTGCCAGACTCTTCCCCTGTGTCCTTCCTGCCTTGGAGTTAGCTGACTATGGGCTGAATCCTCTAAAAATTACGAGTCAAAATAAACCTTTCCTCCTTATGTTGCAGGTGTTGAGTGTTCTGTCAAGTGAGAAAAAGTGACTCAGATACAGTTCATTGATTCTTTTCTAGTTCAGTCCTATAATTGAGCTCTAGAAAAGTGTTTAGTTATTGAAGTTCTCAACTCTAAAAATTTACTGTTTTAAAATTTTAATATTGAGATCAATATTGATATTGTCATCATACCTTTCTTTATTTCAAGTATGATTTTCTTTAGTTCTTTGAACATATTCATAAAAGCTGATTTGAAGTCTACCTGCTAAATTTGACACATTGACCTTCTCACAGGCAGTTTCTATAGCTTGTTTCCACAGCTCCTACCCTCCCACATGTACAGGCCATACATTCCTCTATAGATGCTTTTTTTTTTTTTTGTTAAAAATGGGATATTTTAGAAAAATATTTTTGATTTCCAGATACTAATTCTATAACTCCTGCCTTTCAAACACTTATAATCGCTTGCTTATTTGTTTATAATGTGGCTGGTATATTTTAGTTGGTTTTCTTTTACACAGAAAATTTTCAGTTGCTTTTCAGAGAGTGCAGACTTTGATGTGTTGTAGTCACATTGGAGTGAGAGTGGTTTTAGCTGGACTCTTCCCTGACCTCTTAATACTGTCTGGCTCTGTTAGTACCACTCCTCACTGTTAAACTCCTCTTATTGCCTGCTAATTGCTAATTTCTTGATTAAGTGTGTTTTCATCTGCTGAAGAGGTTTCTTTAGCAATTCTCAGGGGTTTAAATTGTTTTAAGAATATCTTTCACTAGTTGTTTTGCTGGTGTGAAGGTGCTGAGTTCCTCATACTGCCATTTTGGACGTCTCATGTTCTCTTTTAGTGAATTTTTGAAAATTTCATGGCCTGGAATATAATTCTAGTACTACTTCTAGTAGTTGCATGAGACATTTCATTTTTTCCTTAAAAAAGAGTGCATGTTTGTGGGTACAGATATGCTTCCTTCCTATCTTCTAACCCCTATCGGGTGTCAGGCTTGGCTGGTTGGGCTTGTTCTTTATCTACTTTTCACCCAGTTGGACTCTGTTTCTTCTCTCAGTCTCAGCTGCTCCACTTTTGCATTTATTCCTGCTCTAAATTTCCACTTGAGGCACTGGAAATGGTGATGCAATTTGTAAACTGTCTACTTGGCTCATACATTAGCTTTGATTTTCAGCCAGTCCCTCAGCTTTTGTAAACCAGCATGTGGAGTGTATCTTGCTCAGATGTTGGTCTCTTCAAAAGCACACTTGTTCTTTGTGGATGCTGGCTTTATTTACTGTGATGCTCATGTAACAGTTGTATGAAAGAAAGGACATTTTTGAGTCATTGTAAGGTTTGGATAACTGCCTGTTACAGATCCTCATTTTAAGGCAACTTCATCAAGGCTGCTGTTTGGGAATGACATTCAAGACTGCATTACAAATGAGACCCCATTAAAAATAAAGAGAAAATCGTCAGATGTGACGGTGTTTCTTTGTAAGTTTAGATGCAATTATTAATGAGACAGCTTTCATCATATTAATGAAAATCAAAGGGTATATTGTCTGAGGAAGCTTTTTGTGGAGGTTATGTTTGAAAGGAACTGTTTTTTAAAGGAATTAGAGTAAGATGTAGATTCATTGTTATTTGGATTATTTGGAGATCTTGGGAGTTAGTCTGTTTCCTTAAATTATGTAATGTGTAAATTAAATGTTCTAAATACAACTAATTAGTAAACATCAATTTGTAACTCATTTCAATTATTTCATAACAGTCTCTCTTTCTGCTTCCCATCTTCAGGGAATATCCAATTGTATGTTAGCGTCTGTGTTAGTCACCTCTTCGTTGATGTGACTAAATACCTGAGAAAACAATTTAGAGGAGGAAAGGATTATTTTGGCTGGAGGTTTCCATTCATGGTTGACTAGCTCCATTACTATAGACCTCTGGCAAGGTAGATGCATCATTACAGAAGGGTGGCAAGAGAAAGCTTCTCACATAATGGCAGCCAGAAAGTTGACAGCCAGAGAGAAGGGGCAGGGACAGGGCGTACCCTTCAAAGGCATGTCCTTAGTGATACGCTTCCTTCCACTGACCCAACTTCCTATTATCTCAGTCAACTATTAATTCATTAGCATTAATTCATTGATGAGGTTCGTGCCCTCATGATCCAATCCCTTCTTTAGGCTGACTGTGACTACATTGATTTGAGACTTAGGGGAATACTTCATATTTAAGCCAGAACAGGCTCCTTTTGATGGTATTTGATGATAGTAATGTACTTTCCTTGTGAGGAAAGTCATTTTAAACCTATCATAAGAGTTATAATTTTTACTTAGTGTATGGAATGACAACACAAATTATTTTTGGCCTGAGATAATATTTTGACCTGTGAACTGAGCAAACATTTGTTCAGAAACTTTTTGAGATAAGTTGTTGACAGTGTACATATCCCAGAATCTGTATCATCTGTAGTGGAAATAAGCATGCTATTTGCCTGTTTTTCTTTTTTTGGTTCTATAGGCAGCAGGAGCAACTCGACCTCTGGTATCTACTGTCATCAGTCCCTCCACTGAAGGTTGTTTAGACCACTCATTGGAACGTGCCAGATACAGAGCAAGTGAAATGCCACAGGCTTTTCTGTTTGATGTGATCTATGAAGCCTATCAGCAGGTGAGAATCTTGGGTTTTTGAAGAAGCTGCTAATATGTTGTACTTCCTAAAAGTATGTTGACATTTGGAGAATTTCTAAGAAAGCATATGGAACATAGTTGTATTCTTAGGCCAAGATTTATTGCAACAAAGTCATAAGGATATGTAGCTTGAACAGAAGAGAGATACAGACAGTGTGGAGGAATCCAGTTGGAGGCTTCCTTATCCTCTCTTTCTCCCCTAACAAGACATAGAGCATGGTCTACTCCAGAGAGTATTGAATGTCATATATTGGGCTTGTCAGGAAACTTATTAATGAAGTAGGTTAAAGTAACTGATTCTGTGCTGGTCTAATATTAGACATTCAGCAAATAGTTTGAGATAGATTTTTTAGGATTATAGGGCAAGGATAATATGAATATTGATGTTTATGTTAGAAAAATATAATTTTTTTTTTTTTTTTTTTTTGCGGTACCAGGGATCGAACTTAGGACCTTGTACTTGCTAGGCAGGTGCTGTGCCACTGAGCTAAATCCCTGGCCCAAATAGGTATAATTTGGATAGAGGGTTATTTACCTACAAAGACTGAATTATAAATCAATAATCTTGACTCCATCAGTTACTTTTAAAAGTGAGATTTATTATTTAAAATCCATTATAATGATAAGAATGATCCATATTGATTTAGTATTTTCTTAAAATAACGAATTTGGTATACAGAAATTTACTTTTAAGATTTGGTCATTAATTATATACATCTTATGCTATAAATTTCTTCAGATTTTGAGTTTATATATTCTATTTTTAGCCTAATATTGGTAAGCTACCCTACCATGTACCATATTTCTAAGATTGATGGAAGAATTTATACACTTTCATATGAACACTCATATTAGAGTAAATATGGTCTATAAAAGGTATATTTCAGAAGAAAGTATAAGTATGATTTTCTTATACCTGCATTAGAATAGTTTTTCAAAAGCTTTTGCTGTGTCTTTCAGGTGTAGAACACAGTGTAAGGTTTGTGAGGCTGGAGAAGAGTGTGGTCATGGGGACTGGGAGCAGACATGGTTGGAAAGGACCTGGTTCTGTCTGTAAGGTCCTCAGGGCTCTAGAACAGGCCTTTGGACTTTGCTATGAATGAGATGGGAAACCACTGGAGGTTATTAGGTGAGGTCTTTTATGGTGTCACTTTGTCAGTTGTGGTGGTGATAAACTACAGAAGGGCAAAGGAAGAAGTAAAACACTCTTGTGGTACCCATAACCGTGGTAGAATGTGATAAAGACCATTAAGACAGATTGAATAGTGGAGAATATAGTGGGAAGCTGTTGTATTCTGAATATATTTGAAGGTAAAACTTGGAAAACCAGCCCAGTAGGTTGTACATGGGATGTCAAAGATAGGGAAGAGTCATGGACTCAAATATTTATTCTTAAAAACTACAGTACAGAGAAGAGAGAGATAGAAGAGAAGATTTTGTGGAAGCAGATCTGGAATTTAGTTTTGATATACTTGAGATTCTTGATAGACATACAATTGCAAGTGTTAAGGAGGTAGTTGGATATATAAGTCTAGAATTCAGTGGAGAGGTTTACTAGAGATATCTGTGGGAGTTGTGGTCACGGAGCCACTTAATGTTTCGGGAGATTAGGATCATCAGAGGAGTCAGAGCAGACAGAGTAGAAGGGGTCAAAGGTTAAACCACAGTTTTGAGATCTCAAGAACATTAATTTCCTATTGCTGCAACAAATTACCAGAAACTTAATGAATTAAAACAACAGAGATTTATTCTCTTACATTTCTGGAAATCAGAATCCTGAAATGGAGGTGTTAGCAGTGCTGAGTTATTTCTGGAGCCTCTAAGGGAGAAGCCCTTTCCTGGTGTTTTCCTGTTTCTGCCTGCATTCCTTGTCTCCTGGCTCTTCCCTTGCATGCTCTGACCTCTGCCTTTCATTGCAACATCTACTAGACCTCACTTTCATTCTCCCATCCCTTTCATACTAATGTCCTTGTAATTACCCCAGGCTCAGGTCTCACCTGGAAAATTCAGGATAATTTTCTCATCCCATACTTAATTTAATAACATGTTCAAAGTTCCTTTGCCATCTGTTAACGTGTTCACAGATTTCAGGTGTTAAGATATGACCATCTCATGAAGGGCGATATTACTCAGCACTCCAGTGAGGAAGAACCAGCTGAGGGAAGAAAGAATTGCCATAGGGATAAGCAAGTATTGTCCCTGAAGCCTGGGGAATACAATGTTTCAAGACTGAATTGCTGTGCTGAATGATGGATTTTGGTTTAAAGAAGCAGTGACTGAGAACTGCCCCAAAGCTAGAGCAATATGAGACCTACCTTTGTTTTGAGGGTAGTGTTAGATAAGAAAACCTGGCTGGGGTTGATTTAAGAGATTAGGAGGACCTGTTTTGCAGGGAACTTTCATGTGTAGTGAGGAGAAAAAAGAAGAGGGTAGTTCAAAGAAGTTATAGATTAAGAATTTTATGTTTTAAAGTAGATGATATAACAGTTCATTGATAAGGTGATGGAAGTGATTCAACAGAGAGGAAAAGACAGTGCTGGAGTAAAGAGAGTGGGCTTCAGGACACCTAATAGTGTTGGAGTTGACTGAGGCTGTGAGTGAGTATAGCTCATCAATAGGGACAGGAAGAAACAGAGGGTGTCGGTGCAGATGAACTAATGGATGTGGCAGGAGGGTTTGAAATTTGTCTTCTTCTCATTTGTTTTCTTTGTGATCTAAGAAGTAGGTCCTCGGTTTAGAGGGTGGTGAGTGAAGTATTGAGGATTTAGGAAAAAGAAGAAATTTGCAATAGTGTATACTGCCTTTCTTGTACTCAGCCTTAAAAATATACAAAACTATCCAAGAACAGAAATGTCTGGTCTGTTTTTGGAGTATTCATGGCAAACTTTAATAAAAGCTTTTGATTCAAAAAATCTACAAGGCTATTGAATAGTTTAGTCATTTTTATGTTCTTGAGATACAGAAGAATTAGGTTTTCTTTTTATCAAGGTATAACTTTCCCTTGTGGAACTCATGCAGAAAATACATAGTATTGTATCATTTTCTGACTATTGATAAAAATTGGACAGTTGTGACTAAGATCATTGAAAGTTGGACCATTTTTAGAAGAATCACATAAAACCTGAATTACAGTTGTTGCATACTGTGGCAGCGTAACAGTGTGATGTGTCAGTTGGAGAGTATAGATACTTTTCTTTATCCAGTGATGTTGGAAGATTGTAGAAGTCAAGAAGCCATTCTGTATACTGACCTGCTGGATTGTTCATTGACCCTATCAGAGTGATGGTGAACCTTTTAGAGACTGAGTGCTCAAACTTCAACCCCAAACCCACTTATTTATTGCAAAGTGCCCACACTGCAGTTAGACCTGAATATCCAATGCTTGGCTTCTGGGGGGTGCTGGGGTGACTTGGCTTGAGTGCTGATGGAGAGGGCTTTGTGTGTCCACTGTGGCATGCATGCCATAGATTCACCAACTCTGCCCTATCATATGTTCTAGCTATGCTCACCTTGTTTTATTTCTTCAAATACAAGTTTCCTCCTATCTGGTATTTTGTTACCTATCTTTCCATTGATCCTTGAGACCAAGTAAATCATCACTTACTCAGAGAAGCTTTTCCTGATCTGTGCAAACTAAGACAATCTGTTATGCATTCTTCTGGTGCCTATTTTTCTTTTAAATTCCTTCCTAGAATCAGAATTATGATTGAAGTTATTTGGGTATTTAACTATGAAGTGTCTGATTCCCCTGCTAGACTGGGAGCCCTGTGAAGACCTGTGTGGTATCTGTCTTATTGTTAGTAACCTGCCTGATAATTTACTACTATCATGTATGAGGTACAGTAAGTCCCTGACTTATGAACCAATTCAGTTCCGGGAGAACGTTCATACATTGGATCCGTTCATAAGTCTAACTACACCTTTGACTAAACATAAAATGTAAAGCATTAAAAAAACCAAACACACACAAATACTGCAAATACACTGTTTTTATTTGCAGATATGTGAGCTACTTTTGTGATTTGTTCACATCTAGGAATGTTCATAATGCTAGGTCTGTTTGTTTCTGTGAAAGTTTGCAATTGAATGTACCTAAGTTGAGGACTTTCTGTATCATCAAAACATACACTGAATGTTTAAATTACACATAATTATTACAGTAAAAGACACGTTGCCATGAACCTTCCTCAAAATATTTACCCTTTCTTTGAACATATTATCCTGGTGTTCTTGCCACTTTCTAAAGCAGTTCTGGAGGTCTTCTTATGTGAGTGTCTTTAATTATATTGTTGTGGTTGCCTTGATGTCCTGAATTGGTTCAAAATGTTTATCTTTTATGGTCATTTTGACTTTGGGGAAGAGCTAGAAGTTGTATAATACCAGATCCAGTGAATAAGGTGGATGAGGATACACTAGTGTTTTTGGGCCTGCCTTTCTATTGGATGACACTCAGTAGCAGCATTCTCTATATATTGTTTTTCACACCTCATGAAGACACTCAGGAAAGAGGACTGTGTTTGAAACAAGGGGGAGTATTTTGAAGTAGATTAATGGCATTGTGTCTTTTACTTTCATAGTTTTTTAAAAATTTAAACATTTACCATATATTTTAATCACATATTTGTGCAAAGAATGATGGTGAGAGAGTAGTGAACATATGATTATGAGAGGAAAAGCCTTAGTCCTAACTTTTTTTTTCTGTCTGGGCCACATTTTTCGGATTCTCTCACTACCTGTTTTCACACGTCATTTAGGTCTTTATGTAAATGTGGCCTCCTCAGAGAAGCCTTCCCTGGTGGTGGTATATGAAATAGTCTCTATCATTTACCTCTTTATTCGGCTTTAGTTTTCCTTATTAGATACCACTAGCTGACATGTCCTCTGTTTTGGTATTTGACCATCTTCCTTACTGGAATGTTAGTTCCATGAAGACAGGAACTTTCTCTTGTTCACCATTGTATCTCTAGTACCTGGAAATGT